AAAATGAAAAGTTTCCTTAAATAGAAGTTTTCTAAAATGAAAAATTTCTTATTTTAGAAATTATTTTCCTAATTTGGAAGTTGGTTTCAAATTTGAAAGTAAATAATCTAAAATGGAACTGAGTTTCCTAATTTAAGTTAAAGGGTATTTTGAAAAATTGATTCCTAATGTGGGCTGCCTAAAATTATCTAAAATTATTTATTTGGATAGTCCAAATAAAATTAGGCTAAAATGGCTTTGACCCAATAGGTTTAATTAAAAGCCTAAAGATATTTTGATAGGACGATAGATATCAACCTTATTGGATAAGGATGAATGTTTTAAAGATAAAGACCAGAAGCTCATAGGTAAAAGAACTCCTAATCCTTGGAGGATTAGGAAACATCAACCTAGAGTCCTTAAGGGACTCATTACCGCCCCTCCTTCTCCTCGAAGGATAAAGAAGTCTCTCCTATAAATATATAGGAGAGAGAGGTGTGGCATAAGTAAGAAAAGAGAGGAAAGAAATTCAACAAAGAAAGAAAATCTCTTTAGCATACACGAAAAAAAGTAAAATAAAAAGAGAAAATAGTTTTCTCTTAAAACCCTAATACACGCCACTTTTCCTCTTCCCTTAAGGTTGTCGTAAACTTGCTCCGATTAGATTTCTATAGGAAACCCTAAACAAATCGGAAAAGGTGGAGCTAACACTCTATCAATTTTGAGTGCTTCTTTGTGGGTGCTTGGACCGCATGGATCATCAATGGAGGCTAGACACTTGGATGGCTTTTTTGCTAAATAATTTATATTTGTGTTATAAGAGGTAGTTCTTTATTTATTACTTTAATTTATGTACATAAAGTTAGTTGATTTAACGCGATGATCTTGGGCCCTTTAGATGGAGAAATTTTTTTTATTTATTCCATACCTTCGGGATGCATGATCCTTCATATCCTACAAAGACACATTCCAAACCAATATATATCTCACCGGAGATATGGAATGCAAGACAAAATGAATAGTAAAAACTTGAGTCTTGGGTCCGATCCGAGCAAGTGGCCCGGAACTACATGAGCGAGATTGGTGGCATCGAGGCTAGCCTTTCTAGATATATGGAGGGTTCGATCACACACAAATAACACACGAGTACATATGATAAATCCAATTATATATATATATATATATATACACATTTAAGTATATTTGTTTCAATGTAAAGAGTGGATTGTGAACCAAATGCTCACGAGGTGTTTTTGAAGACTCATGAAAATAGGATTAATGATATATACATATTCATCAATCGGCGGGTAAAAAATCTCGAGTAAGTCAATTTTAAGTTTATTACATAGGTATGCCACTTTTATCTAACTTATTGAGATTACTATTTAATATAAAAATTTATGCAATTATGTAGGACATCATCGATAAAATATTTGAGGAGGTGGTTGTTAGCCGAAGGATAAAGGGTACTTCAATGCCTAACATTAACACGAATGAGATATTTAAGAGGGTCATTGGAGGAGGAGACAATAAGAGGAAGAGAATATATAAACTCGGGTCATAGGCCTCCCACTATTAGTCAAATGTCGGTTCATCCTCTAGTTCGATCGCGGTTACATGTCGATATTGAGGTGAATCGAAAAGAAGTAGAGGCCAACAACTGCTAAGCAAGAAAAAAAGATCTATAAACTAGAGATTATTATTACGTTGCTCTTAGAAAATCACAGGCAATTGGAGCAACATAATTAGGAGCGAACTTGCGATAATGTAGATGTTAAGGTGCATCAAAAGAAAGTAGAGGCCAACACGGCTAGATAAGAAGAAAAGATCCAAAAACTAGAGGGTACTATTACATCACTTCTAGAAAATCACGAGCAATTGGAGTAGCATAATTAGGAGCAACTTGCAATAATTTAGTAGATGTTATTGTATATGTAAAAAGATAATTCACCCACCACTCTTTCGATCGACCATCATACATTGGATGAAAATGCCGATATGTGACATGTGGTCCTTTCATTATAATATCTTTCTTTTATCGCTCTTATGTTTTTATTTGATGAAATATTAATATACTTTAATATAATTTGATGTTTGAATATATATTGAATTGGATTTTATATATTATAAAGGAATCATATTTTTTATAATTCTATTTCATATCATTATTTTAGTCGTTAAATTGGATTGGATTTAATAATTCTTATTAGCCACATGTGAACGACTAAATAATTGATTGAAAATATCATTAAAAAAATGATTTAGTGACGATTTAAAACCATAGCTAAATCTAAGCTAAATTCGAGTCATAATTAGCGATAGTTTAGGTAAATCATCGAGTAAACGAAGCTACATTTAGCGATAATTTATCGATGTTTTTTTGAAAACCGTCGCTAAATTGGCAACTTTTTCCCATTATTTATTGACGGATTTTTTATTTTTTTAGCGATGGATAAACCGTTTTTAAATTCATGATAGAATTCCAAAAACCACAGACTAATTAATTAGCAAGTTTTTTAATGATGATTTTTGACCGTCGCAAAACCATCGCTAAGTATAATTAGCGATTTTTTTTCTATTTAGCAACTGTTTAAACCAACGTTGCTAAATGATTTATTTATTTAGTGTAAACCATGTGGAAAGGATTAGCATCGAGGGTTTGCAGTCATGATTGATAGCACTACCGAGTACCAACAAAGGAATTCATAATCATTTGAAGGTTATGCAGTGAAATTATCTATCTTTCATAATACTCTTCTTTAAATTTTGATGATTTATTTAGATCAACATGGTCCGAGAGGAAGTAGAGATTTATCTGAAAATTTAGTTTTGATTTCAGATGGGAATTTTATTTAATGTACTTTAATCTTCATATAAACATTACCTAGATATATATAAGTGAGGTTACCAAAAAGAGTTCAAATAATACTTGCCTACGACAACTTTTACGTTTGTAATCGTTTTTCTTTGTCCAATTATTGACATGATGTTGCTTTTCAGAATGCAAAGAACTTTAAAGTGCAATATTTTTTTATAGCAGAATATACCTTCAATGTAATAGCTTTGTTTTCTTTTGCGGTCTTCCCCACTCGGTGCACTACATAGTAAAATTAAAAGGTTGTTTTTATTCTTTTCCCCTTCCTTTGAATGGTTATATAGTGCCAGGAAAAAAAAAACGTTGATCCCTGGATGAGAGACTATGAGGTGGAGTCGTCAAGAAATTAAGAGAAACATTGTTGGTGGTGAAATGACACTTTCAAAACAGAGACAGTGTCTAACATGGAATTTAAAGATGAGATAATTGGTTAGAAGAGAAAGAGAAAAAAAATATGAACGAATGCTGAATTGAAGTGCAAGCAACAGAAAAAATGAGTATGTATATTTTTATTTGTTAAAGATCGACAAGTAGGATTGGATTTTGGTTGGGGTTGTGTTGTACTAATTATTATTATTATTATTATTATTTGGGTCTTGAGTTAGAGGGATCCTACTGTCATTTATGATTTTAAAATAGTAATTACAAAGATAATGAAATTGGTAGGTTTATTTGGATAAGATAATGGGTCTCGTTGTTTGACATACATACATACATACATACATATATATATATATATATATTATTTTTCGTGCATTGGTTTATGATATAGATGAGATTTATATGTAACTAATAATAAATGATAATTAATTGTAAGAAGAGATTATTGGTGCAATCCACACATTGTGCATATTCGTAAGTTATTGTGGACAGGGCTTGGCTTTTATTGCAGAAGAAACAAAACGACCTTTCTAATTATTTACTAATTAAGTTAGGTCTTGCTTTCTTATAAAAAAAAAAAAAAAGAAAAGAAAAGAAAAGAAAAGAAAAGAAAAAGAAAAAGAAAGAAAGAAAGAAGAAGAAGAGGAGGAGGAGGAGGAGGAAGTTAGGTTTTAAGCTTTCTTGAGAATAAGTTAGGTTATGAGTTTGAAGAATATATATATATATATATATATGTGTGTGTGTGTGTTGCTTTCTAAAAAAGAAAAAGAAAAAAAAAAGGAAGAAGAAGAAGAGGAGGAGGAAGTTAGGTTTTAAGTTTTCTTGAGAATAAGTTAGGTTATGAGTTTGAAGAATATATATATATATATATATATATATATATATATATATATATATATATATATATATATATATATATATATATATATATACTATTTTTTTTAAAAAAAATTACCAATACAATTTTTAATAAATATTTATTACCATATCACAGTAAAATATGTTTTGCATCAAATATTTAAAATATCCATCAACATTTATTTTTCTTTTTCATTTTCATTTTCATTTTTATTTGTATATGTTTACATAATAAATTTGACAATAAATTTAACAACATTCACACACATATATATATATATATATGAATTTAACAACATTCACACACACAGATACATGTGTGTGTATACATGCGAGATAAGTGTGCGTTTTTGTTTCTGTTTTTTGTTCCCCTCTCCGAGAATAAAATAACAAAGTAATGATGCTACTTTTTTTCTTCTGTTTACATCAGTGTACTATCGTTTTATAAAGTAGCAAAGATTTCGTAATTATGGCATAATGAAGCCGTCATGCACTCTATTTTGTACTTTTCATAAAAAGAATTTTGCTAATTGATTTTAAAGGTGGAAAGAGATCACGAAGAGATAAAGAGAATGGAGAGGGAAATAAGCAAATACAATGACTTTTATTTAGAGCAATTTGGATATACAATGGCAGATTTTACTTGGATATATAAAGATTTATAGACTGTAGTAGTTTATACATTCAGTCCTAGCTATATACTATTATGCAGAGACAGTTAAATTAAAGGACTAGGCTGAGAATGAAAGGATTCTAATGCACTTCACAATCTTGATGGATCAATGGAAATTACCAATCTGACTCTAGCATGTACATGTTTTAGTTACCAAATAACAATGCTTCTTTATGTTTATTCCTTAGTACCCACCAATATATCTGAGAAGTCCAAATTCCATGTACTATGCTTTCAGTTCTTCGTTTGTGTTTGGAAAACATGACCAACCCCAGGGCTGTGACTAGGTACTGTGGGTCGGAAATTATCTGGGACTCCTGTGACAGAATGTTCAATGCTGGATGCCTTTGGATGAGTATTTTTTCTCTGATCAACTGATGCCACATGGCCAATACCAGGGCTGTGACCTGGTGTTGTGGGTTTAAAAGCTGCGATAGAACGTTCAACGCTGGAGCTAGTACCAGGCGGCTTTGGATCAACGTCTTCATTGTCTTTCTCCAAAACCGGATGGCCAGCTCCAGGACTGTGACCTGGTGGTGTGGGTTTGAATGCTGTACCAGAACGTTCGATACTGAAGCCACGAGCAGGTGCCTTTGGATCAACATCTTCACTGGCATTCTCTGAAAAAAGATGGCCAGCCCCAGGACTGTGACCTGGAGTTGTGGGTTTGAATGCTCCACTAGAACGTTCGATGCTTGAGCCAACACCAGGCTCCTCCGGATCAACATCTTCACTGTCATTCTCTAAAAACAGATGGCCAGCTCCAGGACTGTGACCTGGTGTTGTTGGTTTGAATGCTGTACTAGAACGTTCAATACTGGAGCCAGGAGCGAGTCCCTTTGGATCAACATCTTCACCGTCATTAGGATGGCCAGCCCCAGGACTATGACCTGGTGTTGTGGGTTTGAATGCTGTACTAGAACGTTCAGTACTGGAGCCAGGAGCAAGTCCCTTTGGATCAACATCTTCACCGTCATTCTCTAAAAAAGGATGGCCAGCCCCAGGACTATGACCTGGTGTTGTGGGTTTGAATGCTGTACTAGAACGTTCGATACTGGAGCCAGTACCGGTTGCCTTTGGATCAACATCTTCACTTTCATCTTCATCTGCAACACTATGGCCAACCCCAGGACTGTGACCTGGTGTTGTGGGTTGGAAACCAGTGACAGCTTGTTCACTGTTGGAATTAGTCCCCACTGTTTTTGGATGCCCAACACCAGGACTAAAACCCGGTGATGTTGGCCGAAAGTCATCCTTGTAAACAGCAGCAGAATCGCTAAAGCTTGGGCCGTTAGGGTGGGACATTTCTTTTCTGCCAGCTTTAGAATGGTGAACACTAGAAATGTGACTTGGGGGTGTAGGTAGGTAAACTTTCTGGTTCTTTGCAGCGTTGCGGTGCAAGTTGGTATTCGTGCCCGGCTTGGCCATTTTTTGTAGCGAGTCCTTTTCAAAGGAAACGAGTTCCTGCTTATTCGTTGACTTAATTAGCCTGCCTTCAGTGAACAGAATTTGAAAGCAAGCAGTAAGTGCAAGGATAAGCAAAGCACATTTACATGTTTCTGCCATAATTAACTAGCGAAAGAATGATAGTGAAGATTTTGTTGTATGATAGTATGGAAGGCTCGAGGAACAATTCAAGTTGCAACAAAGAATAGTAGTAGGAGAAGCAAAGGTGATTAAGGTACAAGCCACTACATTGAGAACAAGTCTCGGCTTGCAGGTGGTATTTATAGCCTAACCATCACCTCATAAAATATGTTTGTGGACCTCGGAAGATGAGTATCAATTTGAACGGTTTCTGTGTGAAAGGGTCCTCACAAAATTGATTATCTTACAGAATTGTTTCCCAAATTTGCATGTCGCATGCACTAACACTGCTGCTTACAATTATGCAGTGCTTTTTATTATTGTTATTTATTATTATTATTATTATTATCATTATTATTATTTGTGATGAATAGAATCCAAAGTTTTATCATAAATTTATAAACCACAAGTTCCATAATAAGCCTAGGAGAAGCTGCCAACAAGTAAATTTACTTGCATGTTAGAAAACATATTCCACATTAAATAGTTAAATTAAAAATAATTAATATATACGAGTTAAAATCATTATCTAACTCTATATAGTATTTTAATTCCAAACGAGTCCAAATAAAGATTCGAAACTCAAGTTACTTGACGAGACTTCAAAAGATGGAGCTGGAAGCAAGGTGGACGGAGACTCAAAGAGGTCCAATAATCCAAGTAAAGATTTTGGAGCTCAAATAACTTGACAAATCGCAAAAGATGGGCTGCAAGTAAAAAGAAAGTGTTAGAAAATATATCCCACATTCAATAAATTAACTACTCACCATAAAGCTTAAATCTTTTGAATGAAACTCAATCTTAACTATCTAACTTCATATGGTATTAGAGATTCAAAGAGATCTAAAAAGATCCAACAATTTGAACGAGAGATCCTAGAGTCTAAGCTATTTGATAGGCCCAAAAGATGAGCTGCAAATGAGGAGAGTGTTAGAAAAACGAAAGATTAGTAGCATATAAAGTTGAGAAGATGCCACTCACAATAAGACTTAAGTCTTTTAGATGAAATCTAATCTCAACTATATAACTTTATATGGTATTAGAGCCTTAAAAAAGCCTAATGACCCAGACAAAGATATTGAAATTCAAGTCACTTAAAATATTTTAAAAGATAGATTACAAGTGAGGGAGTATGTTGGAAAACATATTCCACATTAAATAGTTAAACCAAAGATGATTAATATATAAAATCAAGAATAAGCCACTCACCATAAGGTTTACGTTTTTTTTTTAATGAAACTCAATCTCTATTATTCAACTCTTTAGTTCAATTTTTGGCAAACGGTGACATAACCGATTACATGTACTTATATCAATCCAAAAATCCTAACACTTTTAGAATGCATTTGTTTTCTATGCCCTCATCTAATACCTTAATATTCTAGGTTAAAATAGTTTTTTGACATCCTATCGGGTTTTTTATGACCGAATAGTTAAAAAAATCGAATGTCACCATCTTTTTTTTTTCTAATTAAATTATCGAGCACAAGATAACAATGGATCTATAAAAATTTTAAGCCTAAAAGACTATTACTTGAAAGAAATGTATTAAAAATAATATAAAATTATTTCTAAAACTTCAACTAATAGTTTAATATTTTGAGTTGAAATGGTTTTTTTTTTAAAAAAAAAAAACTTTCCATAAGACTTTGATAATATAAATGTAGGATTAGACTTTGATATATTTCCAAATATCTTGCTCTCATATAAAATGAAAGGAATAATTGTGAGATTCACTGTAAAAATCAAACAAAATATTTGAAAATAGTTTCGTCAATGTTGACGAATTTATTTACTAATAATTTTTCAGAATTTGAGAAGCAAAAATCAGTACTGGAAATCTACCTAACTCTTGTTTTGTGTTGCGTGCAAGTTACAAATTAATCCACCAGATTAATAAAATTTTCTTTATTAAGTCATAAAATGGTAAGTTGAAGTTATATTGCCTGTAAATTTCAGTGTCAAATCACTTGCATTACACCTATAGAAGCTTGATCCTTGACCTTTCATTGTGCTGAAATGTTGATTTTGGTTGAAAACGGTACTGAGGGCGGCAATGTATTTAATCAATACTTTTGATAATTAGTATTCAAAATGTGTCGATACCAAATTGCCTTCCCCCACCACCAAGATACTCCAAAATGATAGGGATTCTCCCTGTACTCTCCACTTACAGATGTATAGTATTAAATTTTGATGGTTTATATGCAAAGCTTACAACTACTTTTGCTCGACAAGTTCAAGTGAAACACATCTGTCTTAAGTCTGCTAATTTAAACTTCATTATTTATAGTATTTGCAAACTTCCAAATGGGTTTTGAATGATTACAGGCCGCTGAAAGTTATGAGATTCCTTTTGGGTGGTGAGCATAAAAGAAAATCTTCTGCTTGATCACTCTTCTACTTATATTGACTCTCAAACATTTCTAACATGTATAGTACATTTGAAAGGTTTGTAAGTGGCACATAGACTAGACCACCAGAATAACAATGCTTATTGCCATTAGGAAGAACAATTTAATTTATATTTGTCCTTGCGAGGTGATCATTGGAACTACAGAACTTTGTTCAAGTCAAACTCCTTATAAAACTTAAAATGTTCACATCATTGAGATAATATTGTTAAAAGGGTTCCGATCCTCATATCACTTGTCTTCTTCCATATGACAATATCCCAAATTTTTGTAATTAATTATAACATGTTTATTCTTCATCATGACGATACCCAATATCCTAATTTTTTTTGTTAATTGTTAAACTTAAATATTTTTCAAACACTAAAGTTTGGGAAGGGAATACTTAGATTTAAGCTTGAGTTGTTGGAGTACTGAAAAGAAACCCTCCTAATTCTCACTGGAATATCCATGCACCACTGGTTGATTCTCCTTCATAGACTAATGAAAAAAGGTACTTGTTTTATAGTCAAATATATGTAATATTGCCTTCAAGTTCGGGTAGATAGCAAAGAGAAGATTCATTCAGTTTGTAATTCTTAGATTCGAGTTCTATTATTGGTTTTTATGCAGAGATGGCGTATACTATATTTACGAAAGTATTCTAAAATTTAACTTCCAAAATAAGTGCTGTGAAAATCCACATATATATATATATATATGTATTCAATGTGTTGGCTAGCTTTATATTTTGCGTTCATTGATGTTGTTTTCTTTTTTGCTTTTAGGCTGTCTATTCTTTCAATTGAGTATTTGAAAAGTTATCTTTGCAACATTAAAACCACTATAAGCCATTTGAGTGCAAATGTAAACTTTCAGAAAACGATGCATATCTAATTAAGTTGCCAGACAAGAATGGATGGTTTATATCTCAGACGAAATTTGACTGAAGATCTTTGCCATGACTGATGGCCCACGAGTAATATTGGCTTGACTTTCTCTTTTTGAGAATTTTAATACAATCAACTTGTTGACAATTGTATCTCTAGTACTTTAGATTATTAGTATTTAAAGGTTTGACTCTTCTCAGCAGTCGGTGACAACTTCTTATTTCATTCACAAATAATAAAAGTGATCTTTGCCATTATATATGTTTTATATTATGTTTGATGGTCAAAATATATAGTAGTGAAGAGGAATCTTTGAGTAGCGAAAAAACACAACGTCCAATATCTTTTTTGGGCATGCGTACTAAGTTACTTTAAATTCATCATTATTATCAAGCATATGCAGTAAGAACCACCAGAGTATGCTTAACTATAATTAAATATTATTGCTACTTGGAACATGTAACTAAATATGTTTAAGAAAGAAGAAATTTTTTTTTTTCCCACTTGTTTCCTATGAGAAATCACGTTACTAGGAGAAAAAGCAAAAACAGCCGCTTTCAGACAGCAATCACTTAGAAGCTGGTCAGAAAATGCTAATCGTGACCGTAGAACAGAACTATAACAGCAAACCTCGAATTTTTGTATGTATCGTAAGTCATTGGTCCCCCTCCCTGCACAGCATGTGTGTATGAGTGTTCAAAACAAAACTTATGGAAACAAGCTAGAATAATTCTAAAGCCCATCAAGTATATAGAACCCAACATAGTGGAGATATGTCTTGCCCGAGAATAGGGATGGTAATCCAACCCGTCCCGAAGCTGTCCCGGCCCGTTTGGGGCGGGGATGGGGTATGAAATTTTACCCCGAACCGGGTACGGGGCGAGGATTTTTCTTTTTTTTAATTTTTTTTTTTTTTTTTGTCGGAGCGGGGATGGGGATGGTGATGGGGTATGAAATTTTTCCCCGAACTAGGTATGGGGCGAGGATGGGTTTTTTTTTTTTTTTTGGTCGGGGCGGGGATGGGGATGGTGATCCCCACCTCGTCCCGCCTTTGTACCTTTAAAAAAAAGTAATTTGATGGGGCCTTGCCCCGCCCCACCCCTTTCGAGGCCGGGATGGGGAGCGAAATTTTGCCCTTAACGGGGCACGGGGCGAGAGATGGGGATGGCGATACCCGCCTCACCTCATTGTCATCCCTACCCGAGAATTTAGAATGATGATTTAGCCCACACATTAAGTGCCACCTACCACACATATACAAAAGCAAAAGGTTCAAAATGCATCACTACCACGTACCGGGTTTTAAGCCACAATTGAAAACCATTGTTAAGCAATTGAAAACGGTTACATCACACATAATGCAATGGTTCACACATAATGCAAAGGTTCACAAATCTCTCGCATCAAGATTAATGCAACATTTTTACATGCACTAGCAATATATAAATTTTCACCGCATCATGTCCTCAAAATGCAACGGTTACTTCATTACTTTAGGCAATAATTTTGAGCATCATAGAAAATTGGTTTAAGTCAAAATTTATGTAAAGATTCTCAC